TTCGTGTGGCTTTTGGGGATAATTGCAGGCATCAATTGCAGCACCAGTGGCACCCACTCAGTGCCACAGAGGGGCAATCAAATTGCCAGTGGACAGTGGCAATCAGATTGCCACAGCCGCAGCCACCGACACCCACACAAACCACCAAACCACCAAACCACCGAACCACCGAGCCACTGGAAAAATTTGCTAAAACCACAAACTGTTCAGTTTGGCTTTCATTAAGTTTTCAGCCGCTTTTTTGTTTTGGCAACTCCATAATCAACGTCCAATTCGAAGTAGCCCCCTAATCCCGCAGTATTTGATTTAGCCATTTGCTTGCTGTTTTATTTTCCCAATGTTGTGTTTGCATTTCTCGCCGCGTTCGTGTTGTTGGTGTATCATTAATCTCCAACATAGAACCAATCAAACAACAACGCCAAAATGTTGCGATGCCCCACTGTTATTGATGATGTGTTGATTAGGTTCTGACAAACCCATCGCGGTCATGTGAACAACAATCAAAGTACACAGTTTCACTTTGAACTCGAGCCGCACTCTTCGGTGGGATTGGGGTAATCCAAGCCCCCCGTCGTGGGGGTGGAACTTTTGGGCCTGGGTGCCAATGCAGCCCATGTGTGTGCGGTCATAGGCGAAATGTGGGTCATGTTTGCCCGTTCATGTTGCCAAACGGAAACCAAAAAAAAATGTAGGAAAAAAACGAAATAAAGAAAAAAGCCTAAGTTGAAGTCATGCAAACCAGCGTGTGTCTAGTGAATTGCCACCCATATGCAGTCTTTTTTATACCTCTTTCATCGGCGGAAAGTGGCTGGTCAAGTCTTGTGGTCGCTGCAGTTACGCAGTTACGCCAGAGAGCTGCCACCGATGCAAGAATAACGGCGACTGTCTGTCAATTGTTCGATATTTATGGTACATAAATCCGACCTGAAGGGTCATTTACTAATTGGGGTTTTCCCTAATGGGTAGTGGTTTTTATGGTCGACTGGCTTGGAAATGAATCAGTTGGCATCGTATTTCAGTGTTCTTTTACAGCAATTGCCGTTTTATGTTTTCTAGAATTTTACATATCTACAGTAAATCTTCAGGAATTCGTTTGCTAGTTTAACGTTAACTAATACTATATACGTCTACGATTTCTACTCTGTTTACAACCAATTGAGTTTTCGGATTTCAAGGGAAAATTTAATCAAACGTGTATTAATTTGTTTCCTTGTAAATTATTTTTAATGTATAGTCTTATGTTGCCAATTCGCAACTCTTCAATGTTCCACACGTCAGTTAATCACATCCCATCAACGACCTTTGATTTCATGGAACTCGTCCCAAATTATTTCCTTTAAACACACAAATCACCTACAATTATGTCCGAATTCCAATTTAGAGTGAACTTCCGTAACAACCCTCGCTTCGGCCAGTGCCCCACCAAATGCCTGTTAAGTCACACAAGAAACCAAAAATAAAAAAATAACGAAGAAAGATCTTTGCATTTATAATTTCATGGCAGAATTCCTCGATAAATTGATATATATGCTGGTTCACTTCACTGGCTGACTTGCTGCCCGACCATGGCCAGTGCCACGCCCCTTTCGGCCCACCGAGAGCCCGGCTAATGGCCTGGCCAATTGTCGCAAATTAGTGGAGGCCAGCCCAACACGCACACATGGCCAACACACACACACACACACACACACACACACACACACATACGCACACAGGCAGACGGAACAGGTGAAGTGGAGTCAAGACAAGACAACTGGAGTCAAGACAAACACCTAAAGCCAATCCACATGAGCACCCAAGCTAACGGTACACCGGCAAACAGAAGATGGCCAAGAAGGCAAGAAGACGGCCGAGACGCCGGAGAGAAAGAACAGCTATAAAGAAGTTTACTGCTACAATTGGCAAATTGAAAATTGCTCGCTGGTGGCGGCGGCGTTGGAGTTTTGAGCCCAACTCAAAGCCGCAGCCAAAGCTGATGTTCAAGTTGAATTTGACCGGGCCAAGGCGGAAGCTTCAGACCAAAAGACCCTGAGCGCGCCTAAAGCTAAGGCCCCCCTATCGCAACCCCGCTCATCCCTGCGATGCGTTCGTCTGGCCAGATAAGCTGACATCCACAACGTGCCACAGACGATGATGCATTTGCCAAGGTACTCGCAACTACTTGCCGCATCAGCCGCATCAGCCGCTGCAGTCGCCGCACCAGACAGAGACGTTTCAATTTCAAACGAGAAGAGCTCTTTCAACCGACTCAGAACTTCGATATACTCTAAGTGGATATTCATTTTGCATACCTGTCGCTTTTAATATGTACACATTAATTTAATCCAGAGCTATTACGAAGCCTTTAATTCTCACATATCGATCCCAGCTTTAAAAATAACATATTAACAGAAAGTAATGTAAAAATGTAAAATGTATTTGCTGGTTTCTAAACTGCATGGATGCCTGCAAGTTTGTAAATATTCAAGATACCCTGCCCGCCTAACTAAAAGGTATTCTTAAAAAGCAACAAAACGGTTTTGGCCGGACCAATCTGGCAGGCAGACATTTTAATGAAGCCGCCGTCAAGCAACATTTGAGGCAGCCACTCTTGGCCGTCTGGCTAGTAACGGTGCCAAGTCCACGGGTCTATATAGCGATAAGTCAACGCACCGGCGTCTGAGGCCGAAACGAATGACTTAAGCGACGAACCTGCTGAGCTAAGTTAGTGCGTTAGATTACCTAAGTTTTGGACTTTGCGCTGTATACAAAGGTGGCGGAGATTTTAAGAACACCCCGAAAATAGGGCCAAAAATGTCACTTTCAACTTTCGCTACCAGTTTTCCCTGCCAACACATCAAACTTGACCCAATTCTGTGGGGTAACACCCACACGGCGTTTTATGAGCCGGGTTCTCTATAATTAAAAAGGCAAGCAAACGAAACGAAACGAAATGAAATGTTAACTTCAAAGTCCACTTAATTTGGGATCCACGCACTTGATTGGCACTGCCACACTGAAGCTGAAAGAGAGAACTGGGCCCAGTCTGTTTAGGCGTTAATTGCGGGTTCTGGCAAATTACAGACTTGGCCAAGAGGCCAGAAACATGAAATGCACTTTCTCTTTGCCGCCCTGAAAAGTGAGTGAGTTAAAATGGATTGTTTTGGATTGAATTGGATCGGATTCGATTGGATTGGATTGGGACTTGAGATAGATGTGTGAGGGCGTAATGCCAAAATCGATGGCAGCTGCTGCTTACCTTTTGTTTAGTCTTCTAATTGCTCCCGAAGATCGCCGATCACATTACCACTGCAAAAAGCAAAAGAGAAACACATGAGTAAGCAAAAGAGAAATGCAAATTAGTTTATGAAAATACTCAAGCAGACAATGAACTCCTCAATTCGATCCCCTTTATGGACTCAGCTCTTCAAATACAAGTCTGAATCTTGAAAACTACCTTTGCCGTCAGCTACAAATTGACATTGTTTCTGTATTTATTTTCGACACATTCATGTGGTGGCAACAACACGTGTTAGCTCGTTGTTCTGTAAGTGACTTTGATTTCGATTTGATTTATTGCCTGCAATTGTCGCACACAGCTAAAAAGTGAAAACTTTCCGCAGCGGTTTTGTTCACTTTTGCTTTCGAAACTTTCAATTCGGTGACTTAATTTCTGTGCGGCCAGAGGTCTAATGAAATCGAACTGCCGCTTAACAATGGCAATAGCACTTTTATTGTCAAGGCATTGCTTTGCCAAAGAAATTATCAAGTGCAGTCTCGGCTTTGGCACTTTTACTTTCATTGTCGTGGAAGTGCTAACAATCGAGCAAACGGGCTCAAAACAATTTTCAATTGAGTGAGTAATGCCCATTTTCCTTTTAGCATCGGCTAATGAGCCGAAAATGCTTTGCGAGCCCATTTTAAGGGGTCGCCAGTCAGTCACAGAGCCAAATTACCAAACAATTTCAATGTCTTTGTATGTGAAGTCGATTTTTATGGGAAAAGGTTTCGGAGCCAAAATGAAATTAAGCTCTCACAAAGTGTTAACAGAAATGTTTATGTAAGTAATATGTACCAACAAAAAATTTGTTTGTTGTTTTCCCTCTTTTGGTTACTGCTTGGTCTAATATGTAAATTTGTTCCCGAATTCGAATAAAAATCTTTATCGTTAAGCTAAATGATCATAAACTGATGCCATAACAAGATAGATAGATATATCGTAGAACACGATATAGTTGATTTCTAAATTTCAATGCAGACTTGTAGAGAATTGCGCCAGAAACATTTAGAGGTATGCCACTTCAAAATCCGATTAAGATAAGTTGACTTAAGTTCCTAACGATGCTTTGATTTACAAGAGCTTTTATTACCACTTTTCAGCACTCTAATTTATATAATAAATCCTTGGAGCATTTTGTAACAATCTAATTAAAGTGAGAACTTAGTTATAAAACCCACTGATGTATAACATATTAGGTATAAGGCAATTGCCAACTATATGCAAGAATTCCCACAACTTCTGAGCCGCCTGAAAATGAGTTTTCCCAGCCGAGAAGACAAGGGCATAAATTGCAGTTGGCCAGTTTTGGTTCACTCTACCGTGGCGGCAACGGGGGCGGCGGAGTGGGCGTGGCCGTAGTGGCAACTGCAACTAGTTTGCATGCAAGCCATGAAATTATCTGCAGTTGATCTCCAGCAAGGGGCAGCTTGGTCTTGGACATGTTTGCTACTCGAATTAAGAAAAGAAAAAAAAAACACAAAAAAATAGAGCGAACAATAGGAGAGGCAAACAAACGTATCAATTAGCAGGAGTCAAATACCCGAACCCAAGTAGAAAAATAAACAGAGGCGGCCGAGTAAATGTTTACTTACAAATTTGTTCAAAGAAATATATTTTTATAGGAATTACATGTTAGTATCTTGTATCTTTATTTAGGAAACAAAAACCAAGAGTGTCACATTACGGTACTACTTTTATTTTTTCAATATAATTGTCATATAATCACAAGACACTCGCCACTATGAAATTATTTAAGAAACGGCAGACGAAAGTCAAGTCCTTTTTCCGCAGCGAGGACATGGACTTGTGCCAACTGCTGCTGCACACGGAAAACGCCTTCGATTGCCTCATTGAGCTGGGTCACCATGGAGCTGTGCAATTCAACAATGTCTACGATGAGGATCGCTTGCTGAACCACCTCTACACCAAAAAAGTGGCGCACTGCTATGAGTTGCTGCGTATCGTGGACAATCTGCACGCTCAGATCGTCCAGTTGCATGTGAACGAGGTATTCTATCCGGATGTGGACCGCGAGAATCGGCTGAAGGAGAAGGACCTGGCCAAGTATAGGGATAGCCTGAAACGCATCCATGTGGAGGCCAGCGCCGTGACGGAGCACTACTTCCGACTGGACAGTCGCCGAAGTCGCATGATCGAGCACTGCTTCGCTTTAAACAAGGCCAACAAGTATATGATATCCGACATGGGCAGTGAACTGCTCTATTCGGAGAGCACAGTAATGAGTTTGGTGCAGGATGCCACGACCAGCTCTGGAGCCTATCAGTCACATCTGAACTATATGATCGGCTGCATCCGGGCTGATAAGTTCTATAGCTTCGAGCTGCTGCTCTACCGCTTGTGCTCCTTCAACCTGATCATTCGATTCTCCGAAATTTCTACTCCGGTCTACGAATATCATTATGGCCATAAGCCGGAAAGGGTACGAAAGTTTGCCATTCTCATGATGGCCAGTTCGACGATAATCTGGCCCAAGGTGCTTAAGATATGCGCTCACTATCATGTCAACATCTACGATTGCCCCAGTTCGGCAAGGCAGCGGGAGGAAAAGGTCAGGGAGTTGAGACAGGAGATAGTGAACGTGGAGAAGGTGCTCCAGGAGGCCGAGCTGATGCGCCGCCAGATCCTGGAGGTTGCTGGCCAGGATCTATTCATTGTACGTGTGAATCTGCGCAAGGCGCTGAAGGTGTACGATCTGATGAATCGCCTGAGATTGGTGGGCGGAGTAGAGGTACCTCGGTATCTTTTGGCCGAGGTGTATATACCATCGTCTGATGTCCCCGATGTGAGGACAATCCTACGAAATGCCTCCCGAATAAGTGGGGGCGCAGATGACGACGATGACGACGATGATTCATCGGATGAAAACATCGAGAAGGCAAACGATGCAGAGTCCCCCGAAGATAAAAAAGCAATTCCTAATGTTACGTCCTATTCCAATGATGCGGATTTCCAGCCAGGCGAGGATATGAGTGCTCGAGCCATACTGATTAAGAAAAACAGACTGGTCAATCATATGCCACCAACGTACTTTCGGCTGAACCAGTTCACCAGGGGATTCCAGAACCTAATAGACGCCTATGGGATGGCCGATTACAAGGAGCTGAATCCCGCTCCGTACACCATCATCACATTTCCCTTCCTGTTCGCCGTTATGTTTGGTGACCTGGGTCATGGCATTCTGCTAATTTTTTTCTCGCTAATCATGATTTGGAAGCACAGGCAGATTGAAAAGTATCAGATTGCTTCGACCTCGGAGAACGAGATCCTGAATATCCTATTTGCGGGACGCTACATAATCTTACTTATGGGCATATTTTCCGTCTACATGGGCATCATCTACAACATAGTCGTGGCCAAGAGCTTCAATCTTTTCGATTCCAGCTGGAGCTGCCGATACAATGAGACAACTGTGTATGATCCCGCTTTTCATGTGACCCTAGACTCTTCGCATCCGCACTTCTACTCTGGCCATCCGTATCCTGTGGGAATGGATCCAGTGTGGGCCGTCTGCGGCCAGGACTCGATAACCACCACTAACTCGTTGAAAATGAAGATGGCCATTGTCCTGGGTATTACACAAATGATGTTTGGACTAGGCCTAGCTGCCGCCAATTGCGTGCTGATGAATAGAAAATCAGATCTCGTTCTGGTTGTCATTCCGCAGATGATCTTCATGATGTGCCTCTTCGGCTACCTTGTCTTCCTGATCTTCTACAAGTGGCTGGCCTTCGGGGGCCACAAGCCGGCGCCCTACAACTCTGCGTGTGCCCCCTCCGTGCTGATCACCTTCATCAACATGATGCTGATGAAAAGTGAGGATACGGCGACGGACTGCCTGGCTGATATGTATCCTAACGAGCGGATGGTGGAGTTCGCCTTAGTAGCAACAGCCTTTTGTACGATACCCATTTTATTGGCCGGCAAACCGATATATCTTATGCGGCGTCGCAGGAAGATGGAACAGGAACGGGAACGGGACTTCAAGAGGATGCGCCGCCAGACGATTGCGGAAATGCGATCCACCATGCGGTACACCGATGATGATTCCAGCGAGGCCAGCAGGCAGAAGGGCAACGAGGAGGAGCACGAGACGTCCGAGATTTGGATTCACTCTGGAATCCATACGATCGAAACGGTCCTGGGCTCGGTCTCCCATACAGCCTCCTACCTTCGATTGTGGGCCCTCTCGTTGGCCCACGATCAGCTGTCCGATGTGCTGTGGCACATGGTTCTGACCAAGGGATTCGCCAACACTCTGCCACTGTACTATGGCGTGCCCGTGCTCATGGCCGCTTTCTTCGCCTGGGCCATTCTCACAGTGGCCATTCTGGTAATGATGGAGGGACTGAGTGCCTTCCTGCACACCCTGCGGCTCCACTGGGTGGAGTTCCAGTCGAAGTTCTTCGGCGGAACCGGCGAGTCGTTCAAGGCGTTCAGTTTTCCGCCCTCAAACCAGAGGAGTTAGTTTTTTTCTTATAGTTTATAAATAAAAATTTATGGTTTGAGCATTTAAGCGATCTCCGACTTTCTAGATAACTGTCATTATGTATAGCTAAACTTATTATTTTTAACGTACTTACTAAAGCCAAGTATTTACGTTAAAAACAGATCTTTGGAAGTGAGCGAAACCCTTTGCCAGGCGCTACGACAACAATTGAATTAATTGCGCCTTTTAAAGATCCTCTTGAGGAACTACTTGCAGCCGCTCCAAGATCGAGCGTATATTTTTTGGATGGACTTTAAATGTTGGCTCCCCCTATCTTTTGGCAATTAACTGTGGCCAAGAGCAAGCCGAGAGCTACCCACGCCCGCTGTTTTCGGACTTGTACATTCCTTTGCAATTAGCATTGGCCCGGGTCCATGCAAAAGGCCATAAACCAAAGCTGGCTTTAAACAATTTCCATTTGTTTGCTTTATGCCACTGCCAGCTGCTGCTGCAGTTGCTGCTGCTGTTGCTGCTGCTGCTGCTGTTGCAGTTACGACTGCTGCCGTGGCAGGCTTCCTTCCTGCGATGCGGGCGCTGGAAGTCGTCGACCCTTTGGTGCTGCTCTTGTGCCAGTACAGCAGTAGTGCTGTTTTATACTACATCGCAGTTCTAGTCGCATACCCTGCTTTTCCGCAGGAGAGGGGTATAGTTTTACAGGTCCTTATATTGGAAATTGCATGCCATAAATGAACAGGCAATAAAAATGCGTTTTATTGTATCCTGCAGGCTGAGATTGATTTGCTTGAATTATTTTAAGGCTCTTTCGGTAATAAAAGTGGTGATCACATTTGAACCGTGGATTTCTAAAGTTTACCCAAAACACAAAAACCAGCTACGAGTTTCTAACATTTTCTTATTAATAAAATAAAATTAATTTATTCTCGTAATTGTATGTTATAAATACTTTCCCCTTTCATTTGTATGACCTCCACATACTATATTGTAGGGTAATTCCTTGTCGAATAGCTTGACTGCCACCGTCATGCCAGTTTTCCACTCACACACAAACACACACAGCCGAGTATTTTAGTGTCTTTGCTGCTGTTGTTGCCGCTCTGTTTGCCATTAACACCCACGCCAGCAACTTTGGGTGCTGTTCTCTGGTTGCTGGTTGCTGGTTGTTGGTTGTGCCAAGACTTGGCATAAATTATGAACAGCAACCGATGACGCATGCAGGCCGACCTAAGTAGACTGGCTCGTGCATAAATAACTTTCGTTAGCCACATGGCCCGGACTGACTTGGCCTGACTTTATTAGATCGCTGCCACGGAAAGCAGAACTAACTCGGTGCCAGTAATGTGCAGTAAGTTTCATGACCAGAGCAGGTTTCTGGCCAGCTATGTAGCACTCTGAGCACTCTACGCAATTGCCAGCGCAAAACAGGCTTTGACTCCATGGCTTTGGCTATAACTTTAAACCGCAGCACGCGCCATTGTTTAGGTGCTGCAGCAAAAAGCAGCAAAAGGCAGCAGAAGGCAGCAGAAGGCAGCAAAAAGCAGCAGCAGCCACGGCCCGGGTGGGTCAAGTTTGTTGCCCAAGTCTTTTGTTTATACTTTCCTTGATGCGGCCGCTGTGCGTGGCTCTAATGCTGGGCCCAATGGCCAACTGCTTAGCACTTTTATGGCCAACAATTGTCAAGTCTCTAAGGGGCAGCAGATTGGTTCCACGGCAGCTTAGAATGCCTGCACTGAGAGAATTATATAAAAACCATTTAAAGGGCTGGATGTCATATTTATCACTAAAAATGTAAGGGGAAGAAAACTATTAAAAGTATGTTTAACTTGCAGACAATAAACTTTAAGCTAAACAGAAATATACTTTCGAAGTGACTTTGATCGTTTGATCATGAACTCCATAATATTTTCGCGCTGTGTGCACTGCAAGAAAAGCAAGGTCGCATTGTTGTCTGGGGAGAATCAATTTGAGACTTAATTGCGGATGGCTTTCCGTTTTCTGCTCGTCAGTCGCATCACGTCACGTCACGTTCTGCGACTCATGCTCTTGGGTCGTCAGTTTTTTGAGTGCATTGCCGCTGCCCTTTAAAGGGTTTTGCCCGTGGATGTAGCTGCTGCAGTTGCAGATGAAGCTGCTGCTGCTGCTGCTGCTGCTGCTGCTGTTGTCATTGTTGCGGCAGCTGCAACAGCAACAGCGAACAACCATTGTTGGCACTGCGACTGTGTCTAGTTCTACTTTTGGGCCTTTACATGCGCGGCCGTAACAAAAAAGGTGTTAAATTCAGCCCATGGATTGGCCAAAGCGAACTGCTGGCCAAAAGCCAGAGAGGGAGCCAAAGTCAATGCACTCTAAAGAATTCGCTGGCTTGGCAGAAGGACATTTGCAGCTCCAAACTCGGAGGCTGAAGCACCTCAAGTGCTTAAAGCGAATAATCCAAACGTTCAAATGAAGTCAGCATGATGAAAACATCAAGCGAATACAATAACGCGCAGATTTAAATGTAAACATCTGTGAGCTATTAAGCCAATTAATTAACTGGCTACACAATTTGTTGGCCTGGCACATTTTGGTCATTTCGCTGGACGGGCTGTCAAGTGGAAAAATGCCATTTAATTCGCCACAAATTGTGCATTGTTTGGGCCTTAATTAAAATTGTCTTTTGTTCATCTTCGTCTTCATCTGCCTTTCGACTATTTTTTTTTTTTTTGCAGAACGGAAGCTGACAATTGACCATTAAAGAAGCAAAAACAAGCAAGATCTGTTAATGCGAGGGGGAAAAACTTTCACTCAGCAGAAATGCTTTAATTAAAAATGGCAAAAAACACACAAAGCTCGAGAAAGAAATTAATTTAAACTAGATATTGTGTGTGTAACCGGTTGGGAGTTCGCATTTGCAATGCTCAGCTGGAAGAGTGAAATTTCTCAAACGCGCCTTCAGAACCCATTTTTGGCATTTAGCAGTTCATTAGCAAGATAGCTACAAAATATGCATAAAATTAATCAGATAGTACTAAATATGGGACACAAAAGCGAAAAGTGAAAGAATGCAAAAACACAAGCGTAATATGCCCGTAAATGGTAAAAGAAATTTCCAAATATACATACGTAAAATGTAATTTATTTATTAATATTTTAAACGAAGATGCTACTCCAAAAAATACTTAAACATTGTGTTTCAGCAGCTTCTTTTGTTTTATAAAATATTTTTAATATTCCGTCCTGTATGTAACTATATTTTAACATTTTGACATCATTAATTGTATGAAATTATATCAATTAAGAACGAAAGAACCATTGTTTGCTGCTGGTTAAAAGTCCGCTTAAGTGGATCACACGCTTAACAATTCCCGTTGGGAAATATTAATTGAGCTTAATGTGGTGTTTTTGTGTCACAGCCAAGATAAGAATCCAAAATTAGTTAGCTCAAAATGATGAACTCCACAGGAAAATACAACCGGCAGCCCTGTGACCCTCATTAAAAGTGAGTTTCATGTATTTATTCCTTTGATCTTGCAGCGGCGACCACACAAAACTGCGGAGAACGCTTTTGATTATTTTCACAAGCGGTTTCTCTCCGCCATTTAAGCCTTTTGTCTTGGCCCCAAGTCATGCATAATGAGAACCTGATATATGGCGATATACTATATACTACTGCCCCGTATATATGTCAATTACAGCACGATCTTTTGGCAAATTCGCGACACATCGCCGAGTGGGTCAGAATTCTGAAGTCTGAGCTCTGAGCTCTGATACCGATATTTATATCACCGGCGACAATAAATTTGTCAGCTTTTTGTTAACCGTTAAGTAAACGCAATGCATGATTTGTGTTTTGTAATGAGGGCGAGTGAGTGAGTGGCGGCTCGAAAAATGTCGAACGAATTCGAATCCGAATACGTATCTGTATCCGCCGACGAAGATGAAGTTGAAGTGGAAGTTAAAGTCTCGCAGTCGAGAAGTGAACGAAACGGGTTTCAGTTCAGTTCATAAAATATTCATGATATGCCAAATGTTTGCTTTCATTTGACTTTTTGATTGTTTTTGCATTGTTTGGGCTATGTTTTTTGCTTTTTGCCATGCAAAATTGCTCAAGATTGAGTCATGAAATATTGTTGGGACATCAATATTCAATAGGCCAGGTAATATTTATTACTCGGAGACAGTAAATAATTTCCATAATTCGCTCATAACAGAGGACAAGAAAACGGTCTTTTAAAATTGCTAGCAATGTAAGCGCTTGTTTTTGGATTCACCGATTTAATTTAAAAGTGTGTTGTACGTGGGCATCGTAATTAACCAACAAAAATGATTGAAACAAACAATTTGAAGTGTGACCACAAAAGCGGCATTGACCATTCGAGTGCCCAAAATTCGATGGCTCTCAACACATTGTTTCGATCACTTTTGGGATGCAGTGGCAGCAGCAACAACACCCATTGTACTAGCACCAACAACACCAATGAGAGCATTACCAATGGCAATAGCACCACCAATTGCCTGACCTTCAGTGGGCCACTTGAGGCACAGCTTCTGCAGCAAAAACTCGAACTCGAACACGAAGTTCGCTGGCTGTCAGCCATTTGAGTGACTGACATGCAACACTAGCAGCAGCAGCAGCAGCAACATCGCAGCAGCAGCAGCAGCAACAATGCACAATAGCGTGCCACAGACAGCCGAAAACACCAATTGGTGTCAAAGCAACAAAATGCTACCGAATTGCAACTGCCACAGCAATGGGAATTTCTCGCTGCCGAAATTAGCAATAAATCAAAGATTGCGAGCTCGGAAGGCGGCTAACTAATTTCACTAAAGGGAAACGCGCTGCACAGGGAAAAACTATAGTCGGATTACAGCAAATTATTTGTAGGAAATACTGAATGGAAAATATCTAGCTGAACTTAAAGCATTTGTAATTACTGTTGATTGTTTAAATAGGATTAAATTGACATTTATATACCATACCTTACGTAGTAAAATAAATTGGAAATGGAATGGAATTTTTTCCCTCTGCATGGGAGCACTTTGCAACCGTTTTGGGCTGCCGAA